TGAGCCCCAGCACCACTTCTGACTTTTTCTGTTTATGTGGTAATGAGGAATCGAGCCCAGGGCTTCATGCATAGTACCACTAAGCCACATTCCCAGCTGGAATCTCATGAATTTTTATGCCCAGACTGGCCTTGAACCATGTGTGATCCTCTAATTTCTGCCCCTTCATTTGATCCTCTAATTTCTGCTCCTTCCTCTCAGTGGTTTCCAATATCACTCATCTCCCTGGATTACCATGTGTTTCTCCCACACTGGAAGGGGGGCTTTAAACAGGCTGGCTTTGTTGCCATTGGCTCATGCTTGTAATCCTAGCTACTCAGGAGGCTGAAATCTGAGGATCAAGGATTGAAGCCAGCCCAGGAAGAAAAATCCTTGAGACTCTTATCTCCACTTTACCAGCAAGCAGCCAGTGGAACTGTGACTTAAGTGGTAGAACACCAGGCTTGAGTGAAAAAGCCAAGTGAAAGCATGAGGCTTTGAGTTAAAGTCCAGTACTGGCAAGAAAAAAAAAAAAAAGAGGACGAATTTGCTATGTTCCTAGAGCTTGGGACAGGTCTAGGTTGTGGGTACACTTCAGTAAATATGAAAATGAATGAATACTAATTCATGTGATGGCATAATGACTTCAATAGCATAATCTGTAATGTGTGATCCTGCTATTTTCCAGAGCATTATAAAAAGTCATCTGAAATAATGATAAAAGCTGGGCACCAGTGGCCACGCTTACAATCCAAACTACTCACAAAGCCAAGCAAGATCCATAGGATCATGGCTCAAGGCTATCCTGGGCAGAAAAGTTTGTGAGACTTTGTCTCCAGCAAAAATAACTAGCAAAAAGCTGTGTTGGAGCTGGGTGCAGGTGGCTCGTGCCTGTAATCTAGCTACTTAGGAGGCTGAGATCTGAGATCTGAGGGTTGTGGTTCAAAGCCAGCCCATGCAAGAAAGTCTGTGAGACTCTAATCTCAAATAAACTACTCCAAAAAGACAGAAGTGGTGCTGTGGTTCCAGTGGTAGAACATTAGCCTTGAGCACAAAGAGGCTCAGAGACAGCACCCAGGCCCTGAGTCCAAGCCCCAGGACCAGCAAAAAAAAAAAAAAGCTGTGTTAGATATGTGGCTCCAGTGGTAGAGTGCCGACTGAACAAGCAAGTTAACCAAACAAAAAGCCCTGAAGGGGCTGAGAAGGTGGCTCAGTGGTAGAGCGCTTGCCTTGCAGAAAGCCCTGAGGGTGAACCCCAGTACTTACAAAAAGTAGGCAAATAAATAAATAATGACAGCCAGGCACCAGTGGCTCATGTCTATAATTCTAGCTACTCAGAAGGCTGAGATCTGAGGATCATGGTTCAAAGGCAACCTGGTCAGGAAAGTCTGAGACTCTTATCTCCACTTAACTACCAAAAAAGCTAGAAGTAGAGCTGTGGCTCCAGTGGTAGAGAGCTAGCCTTGAGCAAAAACAAACAAAAAAAACCCCACAGAGACAGCATTCAGGCCCTGAGTTCAAGCCCCAGAACAGGCACCAAAAAAAAAAAAACAACACAGAAAGCTAAAAAGATAAATAATGAAGTACTAGAAGAAAAAGTATTGAGATTTCCTCTTGCAAAAATAAAAATGTTGCCAGGAACTAGTGGCTCACACTTGTGATCCTAGTTACTCAGGAGGCTGAGATCTAAGGATAATGATTCAAAGCAATCTGGGGCAGAAGAGTTCATGAGACTATTAATCTCCAATTAACCAGCAAAAAGCCAGAAGTGGGGCTGTTACTCAAGTGAAAAAGCTAAGGGACAGTGCTCATGCCCTGGGTTGAAGCCCAATACCTACCTACTTGGAAGGGGGTGGGGGTGAGGAGGGATGTGACCTGGTACTGAGATCTTGAGTTTAGGAGTTTGTCAGTGTTGGGAACAAATCTGGCTCTATCTATGACCCCAGGAAAGTCCCTTTTCCCCTCAGCCTCAGCCTCCGTGCAAGTGAAACGCAGTAACATTCGGTGGTGCATTCTGGCCTGGCAGTTCCTGTGTGGATGGGCTATGTTGAGACTCCCTTACTCTCTGAGTTTTGCCTCCTTGGGTGTAACTTGGGCTGGGGACTCTCAGGGACATGCTATTGCTTCCCTACAGAAGGCTGTGGTCCCTGGGCAGTGGGGGAAAGGCTAGGCTGAAGAAGATGGCCCCTCCTCCCCGCTTATCCATGATCTCAACAGGGTCCAGGCACCAGGAAACTCCTGCAGCCTCACCTCTTCCCCTTCCTTCCTCTGCTCCAGGTGCACCCTGCCTCCCAGGGGTGGGGGAGGGATACCACCTCCCTTGGCTTCAGCTGCTCTCTGGACACTTAGGAAGGGAAGGGGTCCACCATCCCCCTTGCCCACTGGCAATTCTCCCACTGCCCTCTTTCACAAGTTGGATGAATCTTCTGAGAACATTTAGACTTATGTGAGCTACTGGGGATTCAAAGGCCCATCGTGCAGCAGGGCTAGCCTGAAATCACACAGGCAGGCAGCTTTTCTGACACCCAGACACAGGGCTGAAGTTCCAGGACTCCTGGGAGAAAACTTTAACAATCCCTGGGGGCAGGTGGGATGCTGGATCACAGGGCACCAAGAGCGCACTTGCTAACCCTGCTCCTGCAACCCCTGGATGCTCTGGGTAATGGGGAGAAGAGTCTCTCCATTTCCTTAGCCAGCTCCAGGCCAGATCTGATGCCAAAGGCACCTCCAGGACCAGGGAAGGGGAAAGGCTTGAGCTAGGCCTTATACTTGGCATTTTCAAAGTTTCTCAACTCATTTTCAGAGCCCCTAACCTTGGATGAAAGAACAACCACATGCTGGGAAGGTGGAACCAAATCCTAGTTCTGGTTTCCATCAGCTTTGTCAAACTAGCAAGCAAACATCTCTTTCCTTGTATAAAAATTGGATGATAAAGGCACCTCCTCGTCAGAGCTGCTGGTTAAGTAGATGAGCAGATGCTCAGCCTGGTTGAGGCTAGGGCAGTGAACACAGCTGCACTCTAAGAAAGCCAACATGGAAAAGACTAAGATGCTAAACCCATACCCAGGACTGTCATCAGCCCCAGGGAGGTGGACCTCCCTGTCAAACCATTTTAGCCCCCATCCAGCCCCGCTGGCCCTGCCAGACCCAGTGTGGTCACTCACCCTCGGGGCCCCAGGGCGGGGCACCTTCGGCCCACTGCAGTCATGGTGCCTACAGCCGAGGAACCTCCTTAGTCCAGTGGCTCCCGCCTTTCTCAGGCCACTGAGCTGCGGAGCCTAAGGAAGCACTCCGGGGGCGGGGCCTGATCGCCTAGCTCTACGTTCAGCCCCAGCGGGAAGGACACGCCCCACCCACTTCCTCTCTAGTCACGCCCCCTCCCGTCCGTCACTGCACAGGACATAAGAGGAAACGCCCCCATTTGAGCACACACCCACTCAGGCCCGCCCCTCCCGGAAGGGTCACGCCCCCTGAACACGCCCAGCCCAGCCCCGCTCCCGAGAACCAATCAGCGTTCTTGGTGGGAGGCGCCAGGCTCCCAGGGAAGAATCCGACCTGGGGTGACTTGAGTATCCCTGGACCTGTCAGGCCTTCTTTCCTGATAAAAATCCTTGCTCTTCTACGTCAGAATGAGAAGAAGGCAGTCTCGGGCAGCCAGTGATGATGGAAAAGATTTAGTTTAATTATTCATAAAAATAGCACTCCCCGCTGGGCGCCGGTGGCTCACGCCTGTAATACTAGCTACTCATAAGGTTGAAATCTGAGGGTCCCGGTTCAAAGCCAGCCCGGGCAGGTAAATCTGTGAGACTCTCATCTCCAATAAAACCACTAGAAAACTGGAAGTGGCGCTGTAAGGTAGAGTGCTCGCCTTGAGCTGAAAAGCTGAGGGACGGTGCCCAGGCCCAGAGTTCAAGCCCCACTACCGACCAAAAAAAAAAAAAAAATAGTCTTCCCATTTATAGAGTGCTTGCAGTGTGCCAGACGCCACCGTGTGAAGATTTTTCAGATGAGTTAGTCCTAAGTCCTCACCACACCCTGCAAGTACTGTCACTGTGCCGTTTAGAGAGGGCACAGACGTACACATAGTCAATGTGGCTAGTGAGAGGCAAGGTCTCACCTGGATACTGTCAGCCGCTTCACAAGGTGCTGTCTCTCCACTGAGGGAGAGAGGGATGACAGGCTGTAGGAGTGGGAGGTGGGGGAGTGTTTACATCAGCTACATAGCTCAGCACACAGAGGCTATGCTTAGTATCATCCCAAGGAAAAAGCTATTAAGGCAGGCCCAGATCTGGCCCTGGGATTCCTTTGACTCATATGGCACTAGCTTCTTTATTTCCACAAACACTCCTGACTGGGTGGGTTGGGCTCTGAGTTTCCCTTGGTTTGGCAGAGGGGTGTAAGGTACACAGCCAGCCCTGGGGTGTATGTAGAAGGTGGTAGGTACAATGTGGCTAGAGACAAGCAGATTCCTGCTCAAATCGCAGTTCCATGGCATCCTGACTGGAGGCTACCAGCACTGTGAGTCAGATTGACAACACTTCAGATCCTAGCTTTGTCACTTGAAGGATGTGCAGCCTGATGGGGCCCCATGGCTTCTCCTCCCCAATCTCAGTTTCCTCATCTGTCATAGAGAAACAGTAGTAGCAGTAGTATCTCCTTCCTAGTTTTCTTCTGAAAAATTAGGTACCAGTGAAGGTTTCTCCCAGTGCCTGGCTGGGGTAAGTTCTTGGTTGGTCGTGGGGGCTGAATTCTGGGCCTGAGTGCTGTCCCTTAGCTGTTCAGCTCAGGGCTAGTGCTCTATCACTTGAGCCACAGCGCCATTTCTGGCCTTTTCTGCTTATGTGATGCGGAGGAATCAAACCCAGGGCCTCATGCATGCAAGGCAAGCACTCTACCACTGAGCCACCTTCCCAGCCTGTAACTGCTTTTTGTTTTAGCCCAGATGTTTGTGTTGGGGTGTTGGGGGTGGGGCTGCATTGGCAGGAGGCTGAAGCCATCATCCCTGCATGCATGGTACCTACCTTTCTGGAGGCATATTCTCTGGGGTTCTCTCCTCCTTTATGTCTGCATCTGCTGTGAGGTCCTTAGACTTTCTCACTTCCATTGCTGAAGGGTTGGGTCTCACTTCTGGGGTGTTTTCCAGGGTGGCCTTAGCCCCGGCCACCACCTCCTTGGGTCCCTCCATGTCTGGTGGGTCAGGCAGACCTTGGAATACCAGCTGGGGCTCAGGGCTCACCTCCTGGGTCTTCTGGACAGCCTGTTGGCCCCGAGTCTTCTTAATGTGGGGGCGAGGCATGGTGCCCATGTGGCTGTACATGTCGCTGGAGCGAGCATAGGCTGAAGGGCTCTTGGGGACCATGTCATCCTGTGTGGCTTCAAAGATGTCAGGTTCCTGATGGGATTGGGCACTGACAGAAGCTGAAGACCGTCTCAGAGTGAAGGACCGAGGGAGATTGGAGAGACTCCCAAAGCCTTTGAACTTGAAGAACTCTAGCAAGGAGGAAGGGGAAGTAAAAGAATTAATGAGCATGGGTACAGCCATACAATAAACAGTACCTGAGAGTTTTTCTCAGTGAGGGTCCACTGAGGACAGTGGGAGGGGAGAGGGGGGGACGATTCACAGACATCCCTTCTAATTGCTCTCTAAACAGCTCCTAGAAGTGGAATAAGCTGGCAGCTTTGGAGACAGAGCCCTGGACATGCATTCCTGTTCTTTACTGGTTACTTGATCTGAGTACTTTTCTCATCGGTACACCTCTATGGGCAGCAGCAGGATTGAAGATGTAAATAACAAATCTCACATGGAAACCTGCACATAGAATATTTTAGTAGCAAAGATGACTATGACAGTGACAATGTTTCTGCATTCATCAAACACACTATAGGCATGACTTCTTCCCTATTTTCCAGATGAGGAACTTGAGATTTAAATTTAGACACAATTGGCATAAAGAATGTTGGGGGGGATAGGGGTGTGTGGGCATGTAGGCTTATTGGGGAGGCGGGGGTGTCCAGTCAGCCTTTGAGTGCCTTGGGGTGGGTGAAAGCCTCTCTAGCCTGAGGGTCTCTGACCTCTGTCTGTGGTTTTCTCCTTCCTGTCAGCTGAGACCACAGTTTCAGAGCTGGGGTGATACCATCTCCCCATTTCCGCGGGGGTGCATGAGCTGTGAGGTCACTCCTCCCTGCCCCCAGCTGTGGGACTGTTCTTCCTCTCAGTATCAGCAGCTCCTTCCTTAGAGCCTCCAGATCACCAAAAAACAAAAACACACACACAAAAAACCTCTCCAGCCTTTTTCACTTTGGGCTTCCTCCAGCTCCTCAGTTCCTCACACCCATGCTAGCCATTTGACAATGATGGAAACTGAGGCTCAGAGAGAGGAAAGGACTTGCGCAGGGCCACACAGGCTATGGCTGAGGCTGGAGGTGGGAGCAGTGCCCCGGTGCTTTCTTCCTGGCCCTGCCCTCCCCCCCGCCCCAACCTGGTACCTGGTCTTAGCTCCCAGCACTGTCAATCAGTGCTCTGGTCCTAAACAACCTGCCTTGAGCAGAGATTCTGTTAGTGACCAGCAGGGGGGCCGCTGACTTCTATTGACCATGATCTCATGAACACTAGAGATCTGGAGGAAAGAGTGAGGGGATCAGAGAGGGAAATAAGAGTCCGGGACCTGGGATTGAAACCTGCTCCTTAGCCCGGGAGGCTTTAGGAAAGTCTATTTTCATCCATATCTCACTGTCACCCCACTCCCACCCTACTGAGTACTGTCTAATTTCCCACCTGGGGAAACAACGAGGAATGAGTGTCTAGTTCTAATAGCTTCTGGTCTCACTGTGGCTGAGAACACAAGGCAGACCCTACAACACGATTCCTCCAATTCCCCCTAGCTCGCAAGATATCCTTCTGAGACCCAGCGTGAACCCAGGTCTGGGAACAGGCTGTGTGATCGATCTCCCTGTGCCTAGCAGGGAGGCTGGGGAGAGCTCAAGATGTAGTGGACGAGACAGACGGGTAGTGACATTAAGAAGCCAGAGAAGAAGACTTCCCTGGCCAAAGGAAGAGAGACAGAGACCCTGGGTAGAGTGCGGGCACATGGCAAGAGCAACTCTGTGAGGGGAGCCAGTGATGGACAGAGAAACAGAAACCAGATAGCAATAAAGAACCAGATGCCAAACAGCTACACTCACTGAACTTTCTGCTGGTCTTCTTGGGTCCCTCTGTCATCTTGGCGACTTGCACAAAGCCCCCGACCAGCTGGCATGGGGCTGCTTGGGGCTTGTAGACATCAAGATTAAAGTATCTTTCTCACCACCCCTTCCCCTTTCTCTTACCCTCTCGCTGGCTTCCTCTGTATATTTTTAAACCAGCCAAACTCTCACGGCCCCACCCTCTCACCCTCTCCACAGGGGGCGGGGGCTGGGGCCTCCGGAGTTCAGCCCCCGAGGGCCTCCGGGGCCCCAGCAGCAGGGGCAGTGGGCAGACCACAAGCCCATGGGACCTTGAAGGCCTGGGAGAACAAAACCACAGGTTCTGGGAATGGAGCCCACTGGGCCGGGGGTCGTAGGGACTTGCCAACAGCTGTCAAGGGGTCTGGCCCAGGGGCTGGGAAACCAAGGGGCAGGCTTATGTGAGAGTGGTTTATTCTAGGACTCAGTACCTGGGAGACAGACTGGTAGCAGAGATGAGACTACAGGCCTGTGGGCTCTGGTTACTCAGTTCCAAGTTCGAATCTTGGCTGATCACTTCTGCTGGAAAACTTGCTCCCCTGAGCCTCAGTTTCCTCTCTGTGAGCAGGGAATGCATGCTGGGCCCATCTCACAGGGGCCAGGGCACTAAGCAGAGCCTGTGAGGAATGGGTGCCTGATAAGGTAGTGGAGAGGTGATAGACCTATCACACTCATTGGACAGAAATGGAGAAACTGAGGCACAGAGAACTGGGGGGGGGGAGTTGTTAAGGTCACATGGCAGGTTGGTGGTAAAGGCTGGATTACAACTCACCCTTCCATATTCCTTTCCACACAACTGGTGACTTTTTGCCCCAAAAGTGTGTGTGTGTGTGTGTATGCATTTATGTGGGCAGGACAGATACACAAATGCAACTTCCCATGTACAAACCATGCACAGGGTACTAGCACATGTGCAGCGTGGGCCATAAGACAAGGAGACTCACATCCAGTGCGGTGTGCTGCTGATAAAGTATTTCCACAGCTGAAGCCTTAGTCTCTGAATCTCTACAATGGAGACAATACAAAGTGTGCAGAAAAACTGCAGAGGTGTGAAATCCTCTCCCCCCTCCCCTCTGTCACTTGGGTTTGAGCCCAAGGCCTTGTCCAAGCTAGACAAGCACTCTTCCACGAAACCACACCTTCAGCTGCAGATCTGGCATTTCATCCTGCCTCAGGTTGGCTGTGGAGCTGTGAGGGAGGGCCTCAAAGTCAGATGGAAGCCAGGTGTTGGTAGCTCATACCTGTAATCCTAGCTACTCAGGAGGATGAGATCTGAGGATTGCGGTTCCAAGCCAGCCAGGGCAGGAAAGTCTATGAGACTCTTATGTCCATTTAACCACCAGAAAACCAAAGTGGTGCTGTGGCTCAAGTGGTAGAGCGCTCGCCTTGAGCTGAGGGACAGTACCCAGGCCCAGAGTTCAAGCCCCATGACCGACAAAAAAAAAAGTCAGATGGCATCTTTCCTGCACTCTCCATGAAAATGACACAAAAAGTCAGGTCACCTGTCCAGCTGTAGTGCCTGAGGTGCTCACTTCTGTGATGATGCTCCTTGAGGGAGAGGGAAGGGTCCAGATAAATCTTCTGATGGGCAAACAGAAAAACCCAAGGCCCTAAGAGAATGAGGTTTGTGGATCATGACCTTTGGGGTGAGAATGTACCTGGCAGAGTTGGAAGTCTCCACTGGTGGTCATCTGAATCCACACAACTGATCTGACACTGCTCCCATTTAACAGCTGAGGAAACTGAGTCCCAAGTGGAACAGAGACAAGGCAGACAACCAAGTGTCACAACTTTTGGGGGCTTACAGCCTGGTGAGAACCTGGGGTCTTCCTAGTGGAAGACAGAGGAGGGGGTCCCTGGCTTTTTTCCAGGAACACAGTTCCAGTGTGACTTGGTGACCAGTGGTGGCTTCGTAGCCAGGCTACCTTTCAACTGGCTATACAGCATGTTTCTTTGGGCCTCAGTTTCTTCATCTGTAAAGTAGGGTCAGCTCATGGGAAGGGTAAGGCTCAGCAAGTCCTGGTTCTGTGGTTGAAGGGTGAGCCGTTGGCCTTAGCACACTGGGCCATGCCAGGGAAACCCTGGTAAGCAAAAACATGGTGTGAGGGGCCTGGGAATGCTAGCTACCAAGAGGTTGTGTCGCGGTGGTGCCTTATAAGCCTTCCAGCTGGGCCTGCTGTTGGCCAGGGTGCCAGAGCAGTTGCTGGAGTCCCTAGGAGAATGAATGGGGCTCAGTGTAGTAGCTCCACTGAGCTCAGAGCCCCTTTGTGCCTCCTTGAGTGGCCGTTACAAGTGTGGTTGGAGACCGCCTGGCGGGTGGCTGTCCCCCAGGCCCTCCTTAGCATGTGGCTGGAGGCCAGCCGGCATGCTGCAGCCGTGAATACCAACCGAGTGCTTTCCTTCTCTCCTCTGGAGGACTAGGACCTCTACCCAGATGAGACTTGCCACAAATGCCACATTCTCCTTCATTCCCTTGGTCTTCTGCCTCCTTCAAGTTCCCCTAGTGACAGCTTGAGCTAAGATTCCCCCCCAAATTCTACTATGTTTTTTTTTTTTTTTTGCTGGTCATGGAGCTTGAATTCAGGGCCTGGGCACTGTCCCTGAGCTCTTCTGCTCGGACTGGCTTTGAACTGCAATCCTCAGATCTCAGTCTTTTGTTACTAAAATTACAGGCATGAGCCACCAGTGCCCCAGTTCCTGCTGGTGTGTGTGTGTGTGTGTGTGTGTGTGTGTGTACTGGTCCTGGAGCTTGAGTTCGGTGTGTGTATGTGTGCATGTATTGGGGTGTGTGTGTGTGTGTGTGTGTGTACTGGTCCTGGAGCTTGAGTTCAGGGCCTGAGCACTATCCCTGAGCTTTTGTGCTCAAGGCTAGGGCTCTACTACTTGAGCCACAGCTCTACTTCCGGCTTTTTGGGGGTTAATTGAAGATAAGAATCTCAGGGACTTCCCTACCTGGGCTGGCTCTGAACCATGATCCTCAGATCTCAGCCTCCAGGATAGTTAGGATCATAGGCATGAGCCATTAATAGCTGGCTGCTATGATTTCTTACCTCTATCCCAGACATTTGACTCACATAGAACCACTGAGGGAAGAGGGTTGTGGAGGGGAACAAGAGGGGTTCTGTGGGTAGGCAGGTACTATCAAGGACTGGTCCCGGTCAACCTGAGTTCAGGCCTCTCCTGTATGACCTTGAACAAGTCCTGTCACCTCTTTAAGCAAATACTACCTCCTTCCTGTGATCTTGTAGCAGTGAAATGTATTCCTACTGAAAGCATTGTTTTGTTTCATTCATCTGTGTCTTATGTCATCCAAACAGAGCCGAGCTTCTTGGTGGGTCCCTCTGCTCACCCTTCTGGTCCCATGCTAGACCATTAGGCTCCATACATGGTTTTTCTGGGTTGGTCTTGCTGGTTTAGTAGAATGATGTACTTTGAAAGCAAGGAGACCTAGCTCTGAATCCCAACTCCAAGGCTTCCTCTCTGGCTTTCAGCCAGGCCACTTCTCTGCTCTGAGCATGCTTCCTCTTCTGTTACTCCGCCCCAATAATAACCTCCTGTGAAGTTGCAGGGAAAGGATGAAGAGGTGGAGGGAGCTGGGGGCGGGGGCAGTTTCCATGGAGGGACAAGGCTCTGGTTATCCCCCAGCCATTCTCTGCCCTAGATGAGGAGACCTAAGTAGTCAAAGCTCCCACCCTAGGAAGCTGATCATCCCTACCTTACCCCCAGGGAAAGAGTAGAGCCCAAGACACTGAAGGGAAGTGATTGGCAGTTGTCAGGTTTCAGGTCAGGATGTTGGGGTGGAGGTGACAACATCATGGGGAGCTGCTAAGGCCTCTGCCCACAGGATGTGACTTGGAAGTGTTCATGGGAACCCAGCAGGTGTCCCAGCCCTAGTCTAAAGTCTGATAAGGCAGAGCCAGCCCAGGACAGAATCACAATGCTACTGTTACCTCCTATATCTCACATTGGTACCCTGGGCCTTGGGACCTTAACCTGGTTCAACCGGGTCTTGATGGGGAAATATTTAGGGTTTGTGCCAGATTGACCTGTCTTAAATACCAGTGTAGCAGGTGATGTCACCTCCGAGTGTCAGGGTCCTTAAGGGCACAGTAGAAGTGGTAGTACTGCCCACCTCACACGTCTGAGTGACAGTTGAGATAATTCCCATAAAGAGCTAAGTGTAGGGTTGGGACCATTTATTTTCCTTTAAGTTGTAATTACTAAAATGATTTTCTCTCTTCCTACCCCTGATTTAGGCAACAGCCTCTCTGCTTCTTGCTATGTAGCCCAAACTGGTCTCAACTCCTGATCCGACTGCCTCCGCCTCCCACATGATGGGATTACAGACACTGGTCACACCCAGCTTTTTTTGCTTCTCAGTAATGTAGTCAAGAAGCTGGCCCCAGTTCACACCCTGGCATATGGCTTAGCTGCCTTAAACTCTCAGGGAGGGTGCTCAAGAACCTCCTCTGTAGGGGCCTTCCCCAGACCAAGGCCTCTTGAGTCGCCTGGGTCATCTGAGCCATGTCTATCTCCTAGGAGGAAGCGTCTCAGCCAAGATGGGCGCAAACCAGAGGGCTTCCTCCAGATAAGCAAGGGTACAGATGGATCCGGCAAGCCCAGCTCTGAAGGCAGGAGGGGCTTGGGAAGTAAGAGGCAGTCATGATCAACTTTCTCACACCAGAAACCCAGCCTAGTCACTCTGTGACCTTGGACAAACGACCTCCCTTTCTACGTCTTCTGTAAAATGGGTTGGTGGTCCCGCCCGTGGGGGCTGTTGATTCAGGATTCAGAAGGACACCCAGAAACTTCCTTAGTACACGAAGTGCGGAACCAATGGCCCTTAATTTTGCGACGACCGACCTGGTGCAGCTCAGCCAAGGAGGGATCTCGCCCCCGCCTCCCCAAGAACCCGGGATCCAGAGCAACAAGGCCGGAGCTCGGCTCCTTCTCCGCCTCCAGTGTCGCCGCGCCCCCTGGCGGCCGTCTGTTGCCATGTCAACGGCGGGTGGCGGGGGCCCGCGGAGGCGGCGGCGGCGGGGGGCCGTTCTCTCCTCCCAGGGCCGAAGGCCGCTCCCCGGGCGCTTCTGGC